CGTGTTGCCGTGACGCTCACCCTCGCGTGTTGCCGTGTAGCAGGACACGACGCATAGCAGGATTCGGACATTCCATTGTTTCGCTGGCGATCTTCAATCGATCCTACCATTCCCATTGCCAATAATCTTTGCGAATCCTCGCTTCCTTTGCGCATTTAGTCGGGGTGAAGACACAAGGCTCGTCTATATCGTATGTTTAATTTATCTACGATGGTTTAAAATGACCTTCGATTGCAAAAGTTTTGCCCATTTGCTTTTGATTTGGTAATTTTTCTCAAAATTTCCTTTCAATATTGGGTGAACTGTAGTATGCCAGATTAGGCTTATAATTTTTAAACGCGTCTTTACATACATTACATACGTGTTAAAAATGGTTATCTGTAGTGAGTCTTTGAAATAACTACCCTCATTTTATGTCTTTCGAATACTGCATAATCTACATTAAAAATGAATGATTACTGGCAGTATATATTAGTAGTGGCGTATATATCAGTCTTCACTGCTCGTTTTACCCTCATTTCAATTTCTACCCTCAATTCAATTTCTACCCTCTGTTCCTAGCCGCATGTTGGCGCATCGTCTTGCCCTTACCCTGCCTCGCTGAGGGAAGCTATAGTGTCGATACTTCTCCTTGTTTCTACCTATGAATGAATACCAGCGCGATATCGGTGGCCGCTCTATGACTGTTGTTTGACCATCAAAGATCCGGCCAGTATTCGGTCTGCGTAATAATGAATACGAGCGCGATATCGGTGGCCGCTCTATGACTGTTGTTTGACCATCAAAGATCCGGCCAGTATTCGGTCTGCGTAATAACGCTAATGCTTCCTTAATTGCTTCAAAGAAGCGCCGTCGTTTGAGCTACGGGACTACAACTTGGTCTTGGTTTGGAGCTGGTGTAGCGCATCTCTTATGCACTATCTTCACTAGTACCATTAACATCTGGCATATTCTATAATGTCCGTTCGAATAATGTCCGTTACCATTCACTATACCTATTCCACATCTCGACAAATGGAACTTTTTAGGCAGCTCAAAATGTCGATTGTGATGCTCGTTCATTCTCAACGCACCAATTCGTCTGAAACGTTTAGGTCACGAGCTAAGATAAGCCCATAAAAATTTTGTGTAATGCTAATGTTTATCCGAAGCTTGGAGGTTTACTATCGGACCGAAGACCAGCGGCGAGCAAATTAAATTCAACTATTTTATTTATGCAATGGCCCCTGAGGCTTAAAATATATACTAATTTATAGGCATGCTATAGAGGCGACCGCTCGCTTCGTGGCACAAACTGTCGGGGAGCTCTGAGATATTTACAGGATGTGATTCTATTTCAAAGCTGAACTATTATTATATAATAATTCAGTTTAATAATTCTTGTTTATTTATTATTATATAATAATTGCAAAGTGACTGCAATCAGAATATAAATATTTATTCTGTTATTATTGTTCCATCAAGTTTACTTTATACATGCTGTGCAGAACACAGCGTCTCTGGATGACTTCGAGAGACTGAAGACTTTGGGCACGGGGAGCTTTGGGCGCGTCATGCTCGTGCAGCGCAAGGAGTGTAAGAAGTATTACGCCATGAAGATACTCGACAAACAGAAGGTATATTATATGATATGTATTACGCCATGAAGATATTCTACAAACAGAAGGTATATTATATGATATGTATTATGCCATGGAGATACTCGACAAACAGAAGGTATATTATATGATATGTATTACGCCATGAAGATACTCGACAAACAGAAGGTATACATATGATATGTTATTATATGATATATTATATATGTGTATTACGCCATGAAAATACTCGACAAACAGTAGGATATACTTTTGACCGTGTAATGTTATGCTACTTAAGAGTTCAACCTGAAGGTGCTGTTATGTGTCTTTGTAGTGGTACGTACGTTGTGTGCCTATCTAGTGACACGTTGTGTGCCTGTCTAGTAATACGTTGATATTTGCCAGGTATTAGGTATTATTAACAAAAATTAGTGGCCATAATAACGGAGAACGTCAACTCCAGGAATTTTACGAATACATTTTCCTGTTCATTTAATGGCTCTTGAGGTCCCGGAATTGTTCTTTGATTAGTGCTTCTTTATATATATCCTGTCGGTGTGTTCGGCACAAATGCAGATGTCCCGATCGATTTCTTCACCGACATAATTATTCGTATTTAGAAATGAATCTTTCTAGTTGTCAGTTATGGAAAAATTTAGTGTCGATTCTGTCACTACTTGGATCCCTGAGTACAAAATGCTGTACAAGTTTACCTGCAGATCATTTTACGCTTACGAGGCACTACAGCGCATTATTTTCAGCAAGACGATACAAACCTCACTCTATTTGAAGGCGCGCTTTTCGTTTCAACTGTTGCTGCCATGTAGGAACGCCGTCTATAAATAGCCATGTTTTAAAGCAGCGCAAAATGGATCACGTTACTTCATTCTATTTCTTACCGCGATGAGTATTAGTCTTACTATTTACACTTGACTGTAGGTATATCATTCCGAACGCATTGAGCGTTTAAACTTATAAAGTGGAGGTAGGATCGCCGTATTTCACTGTTTATATTTTATGAGTCCGAGTCAATATCAATTTAATATACGAAACTCGCACTCCCTATCAACTGATGATTCTGCTGACCATTTGTGAACCTCTCATAAAGTTTAGCTTTTGTTGAAATCTACGTAATAAGTATTTGTTGTTGCCGCTAGATCGGTGAACAGGCAAGGTGAGATTTGGTGCGTGCAGCGTGTATTTTTAGTGTTCTATCAATCCCCTGGATGATGTGTTCTTCCGGAGTGTTCTCTTGATACCGTGTTCTTCTTTGATACCGTTCTCCTGAAGTGTTTTCTCTATCCCTTGATGTTCCGAAGTGTTCCCTCCGTCCTCTGATATGTTCTCCCGTGTTCCCTCCGTCCCCTGATATGTTCGTTGGTGTGCGCAGGTCGTCAAGTTGAAGCAAGTGGAACACACGCTCAATGAGAAGCGAATATTGCAAGCGATCAGCTTCCCCTTCCTCGTCAGTTTAGAATATCATTTTAAGGTGAGTTCTTATAACATATAATGCAATTACTTCTAATTATTCACTTACCATTTCTACATTGAACCAAATTGATTTCAAATCATAAATTAGTTGTTGACGATAATTCTCTGAATATATACATGCGAGTGACTTAAAAGGATCCAAAGTTACCAATACGCTCAATAATGACTCTTATCTGGGTTGAATAATTCAATTAAAAATTTGTAATATGTATAACTATGCGAGTACACTCATTTGTGTCCATCTTTGGCTTCAATCCTGACTCGAACATATTCCGAATTCATTTTTTAGGTCAGTAGTTTTAAAACTTTATTATAATTTCGTGTCATTGATTGCAGATCCAAAAGCAAAACTTCTAGGAATAAATTGCACGTACTAATGAATGAATGTTTTCAATCAGAGTCGTTGTTTGAAGAAGCCCACACGAAAGTATATCGGCCTGGATTAAGGCGCGTTATGCATGTAGTTTATTTAACGTTTATAAATGTCGTTATTTGTATATTAATAATATCAATGGTAGACTGTGAGGATGATGCAAACAAAAACTTTTGCCGGAACCGCGCCGTCGTTAAATGCGGTAACCACGTGAGCCAAAGCCTCGACATTTTTGCTGCGCAATTAATTGTATAGTATAGTATCTTCGGCATTGAAGAATAGGCCTGGATAGGCCTGTCGCTGATTCTTGTATTTTTCTTGACTAGACTGGCCTTTTGATCAAATCTTCACAACGGACGGTAGGTTTAAATCGTTTCTAGATTTCAGTTTGTTCCTGTTATTATTGTTTGAATTTAAACGCAGGCAGACCGCCCTTGTTTCCAGTGGGGTCAACTCGTGGTTTTTGCGCACGTTTGTTGCCATTTTTGTAACATCGTTACGTACATCTGCGGGTGAGCGAAGTTAGCCGCAATGTTACTCTTTTTAGCGCGTTTTCTCATTTATGGGAAAAAAAGGCGCTATTGTGCTCGCCATGTCCGTCCGTCTGTCCGTCCGTGACTTCACGTTTTCGTCGACGAGGAAATGCGCTCTCTGTCACTCACTCTGAGTAAAAACCTAGGCTGCTCCAAGGCTTCCCGACTCTTCTGTGCAACACTTATTCACCATGAACCCTTATTTCATCAGCCAAAGCTGATAGCTGACGGTTGCTAAGAAGTTGACAGCACGCAGAACTGCAGGTCAAGTTCTTGCAACCTTCCTAAAGCCGCGGTAACGTACATACTTCAGCGACTCACCTTCCCGTGTATCGCTGCATAGATCGCAAAGTCTTGCTCGCCTTAACACAATCGGCTGAAACGCAATCGTCACTTCAACACAATCGTCTGAAACGCAATCGTCACTTCAACACAATCGTGTGAAATGCAATCGTCACTAACACAATCGTCTGAAACGCAATCATCACCAACACAATCGTCTGAAACGCAATCATCACTTCAACACAATCGTCTGAAACGCAATCATCACTTCAACACAATCGTCTGAAACGCAATCATCACTTCAACACAATCGTCAGAAACGCAATCGTTACTTCAACACAATCGTCAGAAACGCAATCGTTACTTCAGCTCATCCAACTCAGTCGTGTGTCGTCTGGAACGCAATTGCTGAGAAACCAGCTAACGAGTCTCCGAGAGCGCTCGACACTTGAGTACTCAGTCGGTGCTCAGAGAGAGCGGCTGTCCTTTGATGGATGTACATTAAAAACTGAATGAAAGGAATCGAGAAGCCGGTCTCTGTGGGCAAGTAGAATTCAAATGATCACGCTTATGTTTGTTCAATAGTTTTCACGAGCAGAAACGGCAGTCATTTTTTTTCTTTCGTGGGTGTTTGGTTCGTGGTAAACATGAAGTAATATGCCAACGGTTCATCTTTTGTGCCCTAGATTGATCGATGATTTTCTGTAGGCTGGCCTCAAAGAGGAGCATTTGTTATCAACCTCTGTCTATTACCACTCTTTACTATGATAATTTTTTGCATTAGAATCTACCTCCTCTGAAGCTTTAACGATGCGTGACCATAAAAGCTACTATCTTTTTAATGATGAAGAATTCTGTCAATTGTTTTCATTAATTAAATAGTGATTAATTAAGTTTTTTAGTGTTTGAAGTTATTATTATGTGATTGTGTGCATGATGAACGACATTCATGATAATTATTTTGTGCAGATAGATCCAAATATTACACCAACTTTACCGTCGTAGACAGTATATCTAAGATATACTGTCTCTTCTGCCTCATCGATGAGATCGATCCATATTTACCTTGTAATTTGCTATAACTTCTTGTTTTTCCCTGTAGGACGCGGAGAAGTTGTATATGGTTATGCCGTTTATCCATATGCCGTTTATCCATATGCCGTTTATCCATATGCCGTTTATCCATATGCCGTTTATCCATATGCCGTTTATCCATATATCGTTCATGAGAACGATCCATATTTACCTTGTAATTTGCTATAACTTCTTGTTTTTCCCTGTAGGACGCGGAGAAGTTGTATATGGTTATGCCGTTTATCCGTGGCGGCGAGATGTTCTCCCATCTACGAAAACTCAAAAAGTTTGGGTAATAACGAAGTATTTTTTTGTGGGCTGCTTCAATAGTGTTTCCCAAGACCTGTGGGGTAAAGCACCCTCTTTTGTTAACGGGCTATAAATGTCATCACTCTATGTCATTCATTGATCGCAAAATTGCTCCTTAGCAAATATTTGGATGGAAAATATGGTCCTCAGAATGTAAAAAAGTGACTCTATATATAGACGTCGATCACACTTTGTTGAAGATATAAAGTATAACTCGAGAAAAGATATAACTTCAAAAGATGTACAAATCGTTGTTATAATTATTTATAATTCACAATGAATTCATCTATTTTAGAATGGATCAATTGTAATTGATCAGCAGGTTGAAATTTAACTTACCATTTCATGATCGCGTTAATCAAATTACATAAACGTGCGTGTGATGGGTGACGTTAGCGTGTATGGCCGTGTATGTCGCTCTGCACTCATTATTGATTCATTGTAAAGGCGATTTTGCAGTCCAAAAAATAATCGTGCATCGTCGTTTTCGTAAATGACTCCTTTGTGTCTTTGTTGGCCGACCTGTCGTATGGGTAGTTTTTTTAATGCGCGAGAAATGTTACTTTTTATCTGTAATATCTGGAGAAATGTTGTCTTGATTAAAGTGTTTGGACGCTTTCAAGTTACGATTAATTAATGATCGTCACACATGGGGCCTCTTGATTACATTTAAAAAAAAACACTCATCTTGAGTTGTATTCATCTATGATGAATAATAAGTAGCCCATCATAACCTGCGCTGGGATTCATGTCAACGTGTGTATGTATTCATAACATATCACTAAACTTTACTTAGGAATCATTTCAAATTATCATTGAAGAATGAAAAACACAGTCAACTCTTTTCACTGATTTTAACCTTGGCATTTTGATGCGATTAATTGGCTTGCTTTAATACGTCAATAAATTATTTAACAGTATTCAACCTTCTAACGCCCAAATGATTAAAATAAAGGCATGAAAACGATTATAATAGATTAATATATCAATCTTCCTGACCGGCCCCATACACAAGAACATAATTAATGGTCAACATACCCCATCCCGCTACGTAACCGCACGCTTGATGATTCGTTCAACTCAACAAATAAATATTTAATTTTTATATAAAAATATTCCGTTGCTGAACTTTTGTCGCGTTGCAATAGTACAACTGTACCTACACTCGGTACCATTCAAACGATGTACAAACAGTACAATTATGCAGTCTGAAAAGTTAAAAATGTCTGGTCCAGTTTAATCATTCGCCTCTATGAGATTGAAGTTCGTTCAAGTTTGTGAGCTTGAAAGGGTGCCTTTGTTCACCCTTGCTAGAAAAAGTTCTACACCAATGACGACAATTCTTATTCCTCCGCCAGAAATTAACCGCAGTTCGATTTAATAACTTGCATAATATCGAATCTTTAATTGTTCAATTTAATCCTGGAATTTGATTGAATCACAGTTAACCGGTGCAAGAAAACGTCCAGCAGCGAGGGAGAATTCGTCTTCATATTTGTTAATGATTTAACTCTGCTTTATTAAATTCTTACCATGGTTTTGGTGATAAGAATCCCTGATTAATATTGTGGTCCTCCTCTCTCTCTCCCTGGTCAGGATAATACCAATTTGTACATGGTCTTAGAATACGTGCCTGGTGGTGAAATGTTCTCTCACCTCAGAAAGATCGGCAGGTTTAGGTAAGTATCTCCTGGCTGAAACATTTCGATAAAAACATTAGCTTCATTATTCTTTTATTTTCTAAAGAAATAATTAGTTATGTTTCTCTTTTATGCAAGTTCATTATATTTTTCCTTATGAATTTGTAGTTCTATCTAACCTCAGAAAGATCGGCAGGTTTAGATAAGTACGTACCTATCTGCTAGCAAAACATTTCGATGAATTATTACCTATTTTACTTTCTGAAGAAATAATTAGTCATGTTTCTCTTTAATGAAAGTTTATTATATTTTTCTTTGTGAATTTGTAGTTCTATGAGTGCTCGTCAAAGGAATGAAGTTTCTCGTGAAGTTTCAATGAATTACCATTCAAAAAATGATATCACTCTCTTATAATCACTAATAATGATTTTCGTTTATAACTCTCAACATCCGTCTTAGATTGAACGAATAATTCCCCAATATATTAACTCCATTAAATTAATAGAGTTTAATTAATCCCTTTAGTTTTCTAATAGCTTTTTCGTATATACACGGGATGTGTGGTCGCCATAATTGCTGGTAAAACATCGTGCGTGGATAAAGCTTCATTCTCATCAAGCTTATCATGTTGAAATAACGTTGATTAAACGTTGGAGTAGTAAAACATCGTGCGGGGTACTTGATAAAGCTTCATTCTCACCAAGCTTATCATGTTGAAATAACGTTGATTAAACGTTGAAGTAGTAAAACATCGTGCATGGTGCTTGATGAAGCTTCATTCTCACCAAGCTTATCATGTTGAAATAACGTTGATTAAACGTTGAAGTAGTAACACATCGTGCGTGGATAAAGCTTCATTCTCACCAAGTTTATCATGTTGAAATAACGTTGATTAAACGTTGAAGTAGTATACATCGTGCGTGGTGCCTGATAAAGCTTCATTCTCACCAGGCGTATGATGTTGTTGAAATAACGTTGATTAAACGTGTTGCGTCGAAATCAACTTAAACGTCATTTGCTAAAGCTCTTGCCTGATAATTTTTTTCTCTTGACTTCTTGGCTTTTGTTTTGTGTGTGTTCGTTGCCTTTCCTTCTCTACGATTTGTTCGGGACAATTTGTTTTTATTGAGGACCATGTTTTACTCTTTATTCTATTAAAGATACAATGCATCATTAAAGATATTTGTAGTTCATTCATTACTAAGTCGAATTATTATGCTTAGTTGAATTAAACTTGGATCCACAGGGAAAAATGATTGAACAATTTTTAAGGTCTATTAGTTTTATTTTCTATTATTTTTTTTTTAGTAATTTTTCATTTTTAGCCGAATTTTCTAAAGTATGTTCGTAAACGTAATGATTTTTCATTTTACTGAATAATTCCTCCAATAGTTAACATGAACATGTTTAAATGAAATTATAATTAAATTTAATGTGAAATACTGACCGTAGACTTTTTTAGCATTAAAATTGAATTTAATGTGAAATACTGACCGTAGACTTTTTTAGCATTATAATTGAATTTAATGTGAAATACTGACCGTAGACTTTTTTAGCATTATAATTGAATTTAATGTGAAATACTGACCATAGACTTTTTTAACTTTCATCGCTTTGTTCGAATATAAATTTGTTAATTTTGCGTATTACGTGTGGCAGCGAACCGCACTCGCGCTTCTACGCAGCGCAGATTGTCCTCGCCTTCGAGTATCTGCACTACTTGGACCTCATATACAGCTGTCTCTTATACACATCTAGATGTGTATAAGAGACAGGTATTACGCCATGAAGATACTCGACAAACAGAAGGTATATTATATGATATGTT